AACCACCTTTTCCTCAATGGAGAAGTCTTGTACTAGAGGACCCCAGACTAAGGTTTGCTGAGATGTGTAGACGCTGCTGAAGTAACCAGACTATTCAAAGAAACACATGCAGGGACGTGCAGACCCCACATGAACGGATTCACATTAGCCAAGAAAATCTTGAGAGCTGGATACTTTTGGATGACTATGGAAAGCGATAGTATCCACTACGTGCAGAAGTGTCACCACCGCCAGATTCATGGAGATTTCATCCGGGTTCCACAAAATGAGTTAAATGTAATGGGTTCACCCTGGCCGTTCGCCGCTTGGGGCATAAACGTGATAGGACCCATAGAGCTTGCAACATCAAACGGACCTCATTTCATCTTAGTGTCTATCGACTATTTCACCAAATGGGTCGATGCATCTACTTACAAGGCCGTCACAAAGAAGGTAGCGGCAGATTTTGTCCGAAACAACATCGTCTACAGATTTGGAATACCAGAGTCGATCATCACTGACAATGTCGCTAACCTCAATAGCGACCTCATGAGAAAAATCTACGAGAAGTTCAGAATTATCCACCGTAATTCCATAGGCTACAGACCACAAATGAATGGGGCAGTCGAGGTATCCAACAAGAATATCAAGAGGATTCTGCGAAAGATAGTGGACAATCACAGACAATGGCATGAGAAGCTACCCTTCTCTTTATTAGGTTATCGAACTACTATAATAACACCCGCTGGGCAACGCCATACATGTTTGTATACGGCACTGAAGCAGTGATACCCATAGAAGTCGAGATACCGTCCTGAAGAGTCATTCAAGAGGAAAAATTGGACGATGCAGAGTGGATACAGATCAGGCAGGAACAACTCATGCTCATTAACGAGAGAAGAATGAATGTAGTATATGATGGCCAGCTATATCATAACAGAATGGCTAGTGCATTTTACAAAAGAGTGAAGCCTTGCCAATTCACACCGGGGCAGTTGGTTCTGAAGAAAATCTTTCCCCATTAAGAAGAATCCAAAGGAAAGTTTGCACCAAACTGGCAAGGTCCTTACGTGGTTCACCGAGCACTGTCAGGTGGAGCTCTAATCCTGGCATAAATGGATGGAAGAGTCAGTATGTATCATATCAACTCAGACATAATCAAGAGATACTATGTCTGAAGGAAAATAGAGCTAGGATCTTTATGTAACAGAACTACATTCAACCTGACTTCCCACGGAGGGATACGTAGGCAACCCACGTAGAGTTCAGTTTCTCTCCCCCCTTTCTCTTGTAATAGAAAAATCAAATATCACTTTTGTATATTGTTCAGGAACTACGCCGACTTGATTTCCTCAGAAAGGAATACGTAGGCAATCCTCATTGGATTCAGTCGTCTTTCATAATTGAACTACGTTCTGGCCTGATTCCACTTGGATATGTATGCTGTCTAAGTTAGACTCGGCCACTTTTCATTCTTAATCTCATCATTTTGCATCTGTTATAATCGAACTACGCTTCGACCTGATTCAGTTTTGGATACGTAGGCTGTCTGAGTCAGTCTCGGTCATTTTTATCATATTTTATCATCATTCTACGAACTACGTTCAGACCTGATTCCATTTTGGATACGTAGGCAACCTGAAAGGGTTCGGTCATAACCTTAGGAAAGCCTTTGTAATGCATTAGTTCTAATTAGGACGCAGTTGAAACAACAAGTAGCTGTGTTGTCAGAGGCATCACGGAAGATCGACACCAACAGGATGAAGTTCTCAAAGGAATACATTCGCATGTGGAGAACATTTCGTAACATGTCATAATCCGAAACGACAGCATTTGCCTTAAAAGAAAAAAGTATTTTCAAAATATTTTCTCTCTCTCTCTCTCTCTCTCTCTATATATATATATATATATATATATATATATATATATANCAAATGACAGATCTTCCACTTGCCTAAGATTATGACTCCCCCTTTTTACTTAAAATTTTCTAGTATAGCTAAAGCTAACTCTTGAATCCTCTTCAGGTGCCTCGTAATCGGACAACTGATACAGAAATTTGTACATTGCAAACCGTTCGCTCATCTAATCGGAGCTTCTTGTACAAAACAGACCGTTAGCTTCACCAATCGAAGTCCTGTATATAGCATACCGTCTGCTCAATCAATCGGAACACCCTAAAATCAAATGTCGGTTTCACCAATCGAAGTCCAATATATAGCAAACTGTCAGCTCAATCAATCTGAGCGCCTTGTACAAATCGAAAGTTGGCTTCACCAATCGAAGTCCTGTATATAGAAATTAGAAAACCGTCAGCTCAATCAATCAGAGCGCCTTGTATAAATCGAACTTTGGCTTCACCGATCGAAGTCCTATATATAGCAAATTGTTCGCTCAGTCAAATCGAACGTCGGCTTCGCCATCTGGAGCCTTGTATATAGCAAACTGCAAACTTCGCCAACAAAAGCAATTCGGAGCACCGCTCTATCAATCACGGATACCGGAATAGACAATCGCAAACTGCGTTACCAACGTCCTGCCAATCGATGGTCGCAACCTAGCTTCGCAGTCAAGAGTATCTCTTGGGCATGCTTTTATTTCATTTTCTATTACTTTGAATGTTTTAACATTTTGTTCGTGCAACTTTAGGTTTGATAACAATTTTTATCAATCACTCCCGAGCGGAGAATACTTTACATTTCAGTGGAAAGCTCTACCAACAAGCGGAGACGCACTTTACAAATCAAGCTCTCCCAACAAGCGGAGACATTTCTCAGTGCAAAGCTCTCCCAACAAGCGGAGACATTTCTCAGTGCAAAGCTCTCCCAACAAGCGGAGATAATTTTCAAATGCTCCGATAGCTGCGGAACGGTACACAACCCGGCTAACAAATCCAGTCAAGATCAAGTATCCCATCATCCCAATCCCAAATAACGGCTCCCCGGTAGCCAGGCATTATCATTTACATCGCATCTTAATATATTCTATATTACAATATATTGGTATGCGTATATTTCATTCATTTTGTAAGAACAAACACCGCATCGTGGAACTGTTTCTTAGCATCAGACCGAACTACAACGCTATGGGGACAACCAACCCAGTAACAAGCCTAATATCCCTGCTCAAGATGATCAGCGAGCTAAAAATTTCGAATCATTCAAATCAGGCCGCAAAATTCAAGCTATCATGAGTGATCAATCTTCCGTCTCGCCGTATCGTCGCAATACGATACTGGGCAATTCCTGCGAGTGTCGCTTTCCCAAAGTCCCTACTCCAGAACTACATGAGGCATGATCGTAGTTAAGCCCGAGGTATGTAAGCAATTCAAAGCCAGAATTCGGTCCAATACTCCCAAATCTTTCTAGATTTTTCTTCAATTCAATCTTGCAATTCACCATTTCCATCTCCTGTAATACCTACCTAAAAGTCAGGACAAAATTGGCTTTGGTTCAATTTCTTTGCCCGAAAACTCTTTCATCGTCTACGGTCAAAGAGGGGCAGCCGTTGACGGCCAATTTTGACCCTCCCTTTTAAAATTAATTTATTTATACTTAACAATTTGCAATAAATGTTTTCAAAGTATTTTCCAATAATAAATACCTATTTTCACAAATTAATTCAGTATTAGTTTTTAAAATTAATCATTTGGTATTAGTATTATATAATTACAAATATATTTACCATTTTAGGATTATTGAAATAATTTTTATGCGTAAGTTCTATAATTAATTCAATAAATTACTTCTTAAAATAGTTAATTAATTTACTATTTCAATAATTCAAAATTAATGTCCTAGTGAAGTATTTTTGTAAATAATCAATTAATTACAATAATTAATAGTATTTAAAAATTATAATTTTAACTATATTTTATTGAAAATAATTAAATTTATTTAAATTAATTTCAAAAGAGTAAAAGACTAAAGGACTACGATTGCAATTCTCTTATTAATTACAAAGTGGCTACCTTTTAAATGATATTTAGCCCAAATACAAGGCCCAATCCGAAATGACCCAGTCCAAACGTCCATCTCATTTGCCACCTTGGTGATCCGTGACACTCTCCCTAAACCAATCATAACCTGCCACATCACTCGCCTCTCTCACTCACAAAGAAAACACAATGAATATGGACTGTTGATTTATCAGATCAACGGCGCACGTTTTATCCCCAATTTTTCTTTAATTTTGGTACCTCACCAGACTCAATCTAAGTTGACCAAATCCAACCATCCAACGGCCATAACTTTTTACATTTTTTATTCTTTAATGCCCAAATTATCAGGACCGTTGATCATTAGATCCAACGGCCCAGATCCTATCTCTCACTCTTAAGCCTAGAGAATAGCCCCAATACCCCAAAACCTTAAATAATTTCTCCAAACTCTCACCCCCCCCCCCCCCCCCTCCATTCCTCTTCTTCTCTCATCTCTGTCAAACCCACAGACCCATCAATCACCTAAACCTTGCACTAATTAGTGCAAGGTCACGAATTCATCATAGAATCAAGTTTCCTGTCTCTCATGTCCGCGATTCACTACAAGAAAAATGCTCAATAGCGAAGGGAAAATTGATCCCTAAAAGTAAGGAATTGGTCCCTAATGGTCAATAGCGACCAGCAAATCTGGTCCTTATAGATTCGGCCGCTAAAGGTCTTTAAGGACGAGATGTTGAACTGGTCGTTAAAAGTGTTTCACGACAAGTTTTAAACTGGACGTTAAATGCTTTATAAGGACCATGTTTCTGGTACCTATTTGCATATTTTAGGGACTAAATTCCCGGTCCTTAAAATATTTTTGCAACTAGGTTAAAGCTGGTCGTTTATACGTTTTGCGACCAGTTAAAAGTTGGTCGTTATATCTTTCGCAAGAGGTTTAAAGTTGGTCCTTAAGTCGAACAGGTTTAGCAACCAAATTTTCTACTTCTAAAAAGGATTTAAGGACTAACAGTCTAGTCCGTAAAGAAACAAGTCACACGTCCCTAAATCACATTCAATTTGCAACTAAATTATCTGGTAATTAATATAAAGATGATACTACTTTCATAAAATAATTACCAAAAGTGATCAACAACAGTTACTTGCACCGCACATCAATAATGTAAGCGAGTCACAGTATTGTGTTCATAAACCCTTAGCAAAAAAACTACATATCACTAATAACCCTCGACTGTAATGTAAAATTTTATTGACATTCCCAGCAAAAGATATATGGTCAATCTGTACATCGTCAAAAATCTGCTTCTTGTAAACCTCACTATCCAAAACCTGTAAAAGAAATAAAAAATTTCATTTAGAAAAATTATAACAGTGTAGACGCAAAAAAATCAGGGCTAGACAGAAGATTATAAAAATAACAAAGAAAAAAGAAGCAACAAGAAACAAATGGCTAGACACTATTGTTCCATTACATCACTTGGACAAAGAATTGAGACAAATAGTGCAGTCTGTTATATTCGTGGGTTGGTCAAAGGAAAGATTATTGAGGTGAATGGCATTATTTGAAATATCCATTTTTGGTGATATCCAAATTTACTGAGAGGGGAATGGTGGTTCCAATTTGCAAAACAGAGGTTATAAAAGATGATCATAATCTAAATTGGAAACCAGTTTCAGTGAATATTCAACAAGTTGGAAGTAAGGTAAAAGAACTGTTCTTCCATGTCCTTCCTAGGCAAATTTCTGAGACCATCCCCTAAAATGTAGAACCTTGGAAGGGAGGGACAGGAAAACCTATGAATCAGATTTTTCTATGAGCTAGTGTGCCTCTTTTTGGGATCATGTGCTATTTCATGTGAATCAGATGTCGGTAGCAAGTGTGGAATTGCTAGAATTTTCTGTATGAATTATGAAATTTGTGAAAAAGAAATACTTTTGATGTAGCCTATAGTCATAGTTTCTTTAGATTGCTAACTCAATGGTAGATAACTCGGCTTTTTAAGTGTAGCTAGTTATCATTTACAACACCGAGAATAATTTTCATGTATTTTCTCTTTAATTTAACATGGTATTTGTGGCCATGTTTATCTAATCAATATCAAGTTAATCAGTAATTACATATAAATTTAACTTATATACACTAACAACGTAATGAACTTTACATTAGTAATGTATTTTAACCTTTTTATACACACCAAAGGTAAAGCGAAGACAACTAAAAGCACCTCCAGCAACATGGACATCAACAGAGAACTTAGTATAGCAACTATTAGAAAGAAGTACTAATATAGCAGCAATTCTATATGAGTTAAAAACAGAAGGCCAGAAGTTTTACGAGCAACTGAACCAGTAGTAACAAAAACTCCAACACAAAGCATTCCTCCAACTCCAAAAGCTACTAAATCATACCATGTGAGTTTTCTTTTCATGTCAGCACCAGACCTTAGCCTCACTTTGTTAAGCTCGGTCTGGTGTCAACACCAGAGAACTCAGTATAGCACCAGAGAAAGTCAGTGCACAATACTAAACCACTAACGTACATTAAGAAATCAGTAATACGACAAATAACTATGCATAACCAGCAAATTCGTAATCGACAGAAGATGTAAATTCCACAAATGATATATAACAACATACACTTAAATCAACAAAATAAATTGATGTTTCGGCTAAGATGTTACTCACTTGGTGTCATCAAGAATCGGAATAGTCATTCTCCTGAACTAGATGCTGGAAATTAGTCTGTTGCGCTAA